TTCTCCTCAATATTTTAAATGATCTTTTCATATATTTAAAAAAATGTCTTGAGTACACATTGTAGAATTTTTTTATCAATGTTTTCCATTTTGAAGGGGCCTGTTGACTCTTGTTACAATCTCATTGTCGTCGCCTTCCCAATACAGTTGCATTGCTGTTAATCAGTATCTGCACGGATGGAAGGATCCTTGCCGCAGAGTTCCCCAGGTCTGCCTGCTGCACTGGTCCAGAGGAGGGTCGTGTCATAGACATCTTCCTAACTGCACTGAGGCATTTTAAAAACTTGATATGATCTGGCATATTATATCACTAACTCCCATCTGTTGTCACTAGACAAAACCCAGGCTCCGAGGAATAGGATATTGTATATGTGTGTAGAGGAGGATGGGTTTATGGATGTGACCACAATGGTTTCACTGAGTATTCCAAGGGATCTTGAAGATTTGCCAAGATCTTGTTGGAGGGGGAGTCAAGCTAAAGGTTAGCAAAGACATTGGGCGGGTTTTCAGGTAGCCAATACCAATCACAGGGGCAGTGGCTAGACCTTTGGGGGAAGCCCACAGGAGGGGAGATGTCAGAGATGAGGGCTTCTCTGCTGTGTCTCAGAGACAACTTGAGTTGAGTTGTTGAGGCATCGCCCACCATTAGGATATCATGGGAGAAAACATCCAAAGCTTGTATCTTAAACCTTTGAGTTTACTTCCTGAAATACTGAAGACATTTCCCAGAAGTTTCATAGTTCTTACCTTTTTTTTTTTTTAAGTGTAGACTTATTCGACATTGGTGTAAGGCTTCGTCGAGTCTGGCTAGCGAGACTTACAGCCTGCAAGCCATGCAAGACTTGGAACTTCTCAGCCAAACTTCTAAAGCCAAGATAGTAAGGTTAGACTCAAAGATGGCAGATGAAGTGTTGAGAAACAGGGCGGTGCCTCACTGCTCCATTCTCTTGGAATCTGTTCCAGTTAACAGAGATCTTTGGATGCAGCTGGGGGCTGATTCTGAGTTTTGAGTTCAGGTGTATACATTTTCTAGATGCAATCATTTCACCCAATAAATGAGAGGATGGCTGTCTCTAGGAATCAAGTTCTCACACCGGGAATGTGTCAGCTGCAGTTTGATACTCAGTCAAGAACATTCTAGTCACTCAATTCTGAAGAGTTTTTAGGGGCTTTCCTATTTAGGAAAAGTTAGTTTCAGGAATGAAGGAGAAGAAAAGGATCATTTAAAATTGGGAGATTTACATGTATGGGATCATATACAATAGATTCCTTTCTTTTTTTATCCAGACGTACTTAACATTTTCTTCTAACCAAGCCAATCCCAGTTTATAGAACATAAATTATAATGGCTGAATAGCACATTAATATAAAAGTTTTAACACATGATTAATGCATATAAGTATACATATTTCATAAAGTAGGTAAACATATTAGTAGTTCCTGTTGTATTATTTCATAGCTAGCAAGTGCTACAGGATGCGAGGGAAGGTGTCAAAGCTGAGCAGCCATCAGCTTGCTAAAATGCCTTTGGTAGGATCTAGCGTCCCTGTACCTCTACCTCCTGTCACCCAGTGCACTGAGCTCTGGATGCTCTCATCACCAGACGAGGATGCCCTCATCGTCATTGCCCAGTGAGTCCTCTGGACAGAGAAGAGGCCGTGGTAGTTTCTGGTGGGTACTATGCTACTTTACCTCCTCGCTATATGGTATTTCACTCCTTTTCAAGTCACTAGAACCTAGTCCTATGAAGAATTATACCTGGACCCTCCCAGACAGTGCATCTCAGCCCTCTGATCACCTGGATCTTGGGGCTGGATGAGTTATGGTAGCACCTGGTATATCGTCAGGCCATCAACTCCTCATATAATGTTCAGCCCATGGTGGATACTCAGCCCATGTTTATTGAGAGATCTAATGGGCAACAAGGTTGACACCTTTGGATTATGATCTTTATTCCATATTTGGACACTGAGTAATGACCATAAAAGGTATAACATTTATGTTGGTGGCTGAACAAGAACTTTGTCTACTTATTTGTTTTTGTTTTTGCTGACAGAGGCTCATGTCAAGGACATCTTAGATCATGGCATTTCATTTCACCCAAACACTTTAATTACAGTCTCAGGATATGCCGGGCTGTGGTCCCACAGTTCCCATGTCTGTCCGCCGCAGACTTGATGAGATGACTGGAGGCTGCTTCAAACTTATCATGACTGCATTTCTCAACCCTAGGCAAGACCATAGGGAGGACAGAGCACCGTACGTGACTTTCCATTGTCTAAACCTAGAAGCAGCACACCAAATACTAGTTCTTCTTTCAGTGTTCAGAACCAGACAGAAGGTGCAATTATCAGCAGGGGTATGAGGTGGTCTTCTATGTACTGGAAAGGAGAGGAAGAAAAAAAATTGATGTGCAACCATGATACTGGCTATTGCGAGTATACAATGCCATTATACAATGACTGTTATTTTATAGAAAATAAAACTGAGGCCCAGGGCCTGAGATGATAACTCAGCTAATAAAGTAATTGCTGCATAAACATGAGGACCCGAGTTCATTGTGAATGATGATTTACACTCAGATACCAAGCACCTAAGTGAACACTGGTGTGGTGTCACATGTTTGGAACCCCAGTGATGGGAAGGAAGAGGCGAGAAGATTCAGGGGATAGCTAGTCAGTCAGCCTAACCTATCATGAGAGACCCTGTCTCAAAAGATAAGGTGGACAGCAGTCGAAGAAGATTGGGTATTGGCTTTTGGTATCCATGTATACACACACACACACACACACACACACACACACACACGGCCCTGAAACTATGTGTTACTTGTTAAATATTAGATAACACTCATAAGGCAACGTGAGGCCTGGGTTTTAAATTCCATGATCTTAATAAGCCATGGAGCACTCCCTTTTAAAAGGAAATTATTTCTTTTCTTAGAATAGCCTGACTTTCGTGAGGTTGAGAATATGAGTACTGGGTCTGAGTTTGGAGAAGCCAGTTTTAAAAGACCAATTTTTCTTATTCTCTTACTGGTCCCTTCTCTGAAATGATACCCCGCAGGGATAATGGCTACGATGGTGATGTGAGGCAGTATATTGTACCTTGAGAGATGTGCAGTAGGAAAAGAAGTGATGTTGTCAGTTCTGAGTGATACAGCTTTCTGAGCTGGCGGCGCAGATTCCCAAAATACCCTCATCCATGACACCTAAAAGGAAGTTCCTTCTCCTGTGAGAAATAGACCCTGTAAAATGATTCTGGCTCCTTTAGTTCTTTCCCGTGCAAAAGTCTATGTCGTATAGACTGCAACGGGTGTCTTCACTTCCGCGACACGAGTGACATTAGGCGCTGCGTGGAATTTTGACAGGATTGATGGGCTTTCGTCTGCCATTTGCCTTGTACAGCTCTTGAAACCATACTTTATTTGAAAGATAAATTTATTTTATTAGTATGAATGTTTTGCTTGCCTGCCTGCATGCATGTAAGTGCACCATATACCTGCCTGGTGCCAACAGAGGCTAGAAGTGGGCTATGGGCACCCTAGGACTTGAGTTACAGCAGGTTGTGAATACCATGTGGGCGCTGGGAGGGAACCGGTTCCTCTGCAAGAGCAGCAGGTGCTCTTAACCATTGAGCTGTCCCTCCAAGCCTCTTGAAATCACACTTGAGAAGTTCATTGTTGGCGGTGTTCCTGTGAGTGTTCTCTCAGACGCATGAGACCATGCTGCTATGAATGCGGGAAACACTTCACACTGGTTATGTGGGTCAAGCAGCTCAGTTTTGCCTACCGCGGCAAATCAAGCAGCTCTTTCCTGGAGGTGGGAGGGAGGGAGACACTTTGGTCAGGTCTGCTTTCGGCAGCCTCAGACTGTTGCCTGCCAGAAGACTTGTGAGATCGTAGCTCCCAGTCTCTGTCTCCTGATCTGAGATTGTCCCAGGCTCCACAGCTTAGCTGCATTTATTCTCTTGGAGCCCACAGAGCGACTCTCAGACAGGAGGTAGTGAAAGACCCTCAGAGAGGACCTTTTCCTCCAATGAAGTCCCCAGAACCAGGACACTCCGAATCCAGACCACAGGATGCAATTAGCAAGAGGTTTATTGCGTAAACACAGGTACCTGTGGGCAGCAAAGTCTTACAGAGGACTTGCGCGCCTGCCAACTGGAGAGCGGGCTTTTTATAGGGAAGAGCAAAAAGCAAGTTTACAGAAGCAAAAGAGTGGTTATCAGAATGAGGCGGGGGGCATGACTGTTCCTATCTCATAGATATCCCGTTTAGCAGTCAACCTGCTTTGTTGATGTCCTATCTTATTGACATCCTGCCCTGCAGTCTTCCTATCTCATAGACATCCTGCTCTCTCAAGCACGTGGGATGTTCTTACGAGAGCAGGCTGGCTGCTGATCCGGAGAATTTTTTTAAAACAAACAGGACGTTCCCCCGGGAGCATGCTAGCTGCGGGTTTTGAGGAGGGGGTCTGTAGGGTCTTTCAGTAGGAAACTGGGCCTCTGAAGTGTTTTGTGCGTCCGGCCTCCACATTGCGTCAGGTGTGATGTCATAGATTTAATTGCCCTTTGACCTCTTCCTTCCTGGCATAGGTTTCTGTGCAATATCTTAATGGGATCAGAAAGGAAAAATGTTTCTGTGGGAGGCTGTGAATAAAAACTCCCATTAAACAAGGAAACAAGCAAGCAAAAGGGCCGCATGTTTTCCTTGGACCCCGTCTTTTGAGTATGCCTACCCCTTTTGCCTCAATATTGCCCTACGAACAAGGGCAAGCATGTCACCCACACCTTTCTCCTGCTCTCCCGTTTGGACATAAAGCCTGCTGTTATTAATCGTTCTTTTTTTTTATTAATCGTTCTATAGTTGGTCCTCCTGAAAATGAGATTTCTTGTAAGTAGGGCATTTTCATCACTGGATAGTGGGGCTCTCTAATTTTATTCTTTCAGAGAGGCCAGGAAAACGTTTACAGGTGCTCCTGTTTGTTTTTCCTTTCCAGAGTCATAAAGAGGCAGAGAGAACTCATCAGGGAAAGGACTACCGTGACAGCCTCCTTTACCGTTAAGCCATAAAGAGCAGAAAGAAAAGGTGGGTGTTTGTCCTATTCAAAGCTGTTGTCTAATTACGAGTGGTGGTTTTGACTGACCTTAGAAGTTACCTAAGTCTTTTTAGTGCTTTCAAGCCAGTCTGTAGTCTCCAGAAGTGTTAATAGTCTGTTGGATTTACAAATTACCTCCCCGCAGGACTGGCTGGACTCCTTTGTGATGGACTGACGGATTCACCTTGTACCTCTTGGCTTGCAGATGTAGCTCCTCATTCTTTTTTGTCCTTTCGCTTATGTAACCACTCTTTGCAGAGTTCTCCCAGAGCTATTTAAGTCCCAGGGCTTTTGTGCAGTTAGATTTCCGTGGTCACTAGGGCTCAAGCCCTCCTTCTGCCTTGTTCTTCCCTCTATTAGTTCTGTTCTGCAAGTCAATGAGTTACTTTACGGTATGATAACTTTTCTCGTGCTATTGAAAGCCATAACTAATTAGGACAATGAGCCAATTAAAACTCTTCCAGGACAGAAAACAGAAGGGTGGGTCTGAGGTGTGGTTGAATGTAGAGACAATTTAAGAGGCATCTGTGGGGACTGACAGCTGGGGGAGGGGCCTGTCCTCTCCTTCCCTTCAGATGGTCTTGTCTTCTTCCATTTCCTACCTGGCCCTTGGCAATCCTGGATACAGTTCCAGCGGAAGCTGATGCAGGGGTACTTTTTAAGGATGTGGAGGATGCGGTGACACAGAGAGGCAGGGGAGGGGCCAGCTGGTGGCTCAGCACATGCTGAAGCTGGGTAACTAGGACTGAATCCTAACGCGATGATGCTTGGTCCCCACTAACAACTCAGGTTGGCAGTCGAGGTTTTCCTGTACCTTCTCCTCCAGCTTCCTCCTAGAAGCTGCCAGAAGCCAGTGAGTCCCATTCACCGCCACTTCCTGTGACCCTTCTGTTTTAAACTGATAGCCTGGGGGGAGGGGGGTTGTGCAAGTGTATCCTCTTTGGAATTTAGATTATATCTGCAGCAGGCACCTGCTTTCTGGCATGTTATAAAACAATAACAATGTGATGTCCTGCTGTCTGTCTGTGTTGTCACAAATGACAGGGTGTCATCCTTTCTTATAGTCAGTAGCTTTCCATTGCATATACAAGTACTACACTGTTTATCCATTCTCCTTTAGTGGATACTAGGTGATTTCATCTCCTGGCTATAAACAGTGCTGAAATAAACATGAGAATAAGATCTTTTTGAGATTTATTGGTATTTGCTCAGTTTTGATTGACTTACTTTTAACATCTACATTATAACCTCTGCATCTAAGACTTGTGGAGCACTGTGGAGAGAGGAGTGGAAAGATTGTAAGAGCCAGAGAAGCAGGCAGTTTGCTGTGAGTTTGTCTCCTAGGAATGTCAAAAGTCCCATCAACATGGCAGTATAAATATGACCCAAACAAGGATGGCGGCAGTAGACAAGCTAATGTGGAAGGGTCTCATGTGATCTCAATCCTATGTAAAGAACTGCAGGTAACTAGGGAATGCAGAGCTGGGGAAATGGTCGTCCTCGGGGAAGAGCACATCACTTGCTTATCCAATGCCAAATGGTCAGCCTTGAAAACATAGATATGTAAGTATCACTATACAGACTGAACAGGTTGTGTTTATGTATTAAGACATGTGAACATGCATGCTTGTGTCTGAGTGTTTGTGGAAGAAAAATTAAAGAAAAAAGAGGCTACGAATTTGAATGAGAGCAAGGGGTAGGGGTACACGGGAGGGTTCAGAGGGGAAAAAGGGTAGGGTAAAATGATGCAATTACATTATAATATCAAAAATAAAATGAATATTTAAAATTGTATGTAGTGTACACAAGAATGAAAACATTTTGTACCCCATAAACATGTAGTTATTCTATGTCATTGACAAAGCGATGAAGACAAAAATATCAAGAAAATTGACATTTAGAGTTGACTCTTACGCAGTAGGTTTAATTCTTAGGCTGTTACATTTTTTATCCAATGCAAATGACTCTTAGAAGTTAGTCCTGCCCTAACAGCGATAAGCTGAATTGCCCATCCTTTTATTTATTTTACCTCTTAAAAGCCAAGGTCCAGCTTTAGCATCAGACAGCCCTAAAGGGGGCTGCTAGCTGCATGAGTTGCATTAGACGTAATATGTGTGTGATAATATTAATAGTGTCTGTAGGCTTATTTTCCCTTCTATGCATGCAATCACATAAAGTGTAATGCTAACATAAAGTGTTAAGTGCTTTTATTTTCAATATCAGCCTGTGGGGGAATAATCAAGACCTAACAGAAGGGAAAATGAGGCTTATGACATTATCATGCAAAAGAGGAACATTATCATAAATTAGAGAGAAAAGCCATAAAATAGGGGTCCTATCAGCTTCATATGATAAATAAAAAAGAACAATTGCTGTTATTAGTAAATTCTAAAATCGCTAACTCCATGTGGATGGAAGGAAGTTTTCTGTGTGGGAAAAGGAGGTGGTTTGGTTTATCTATGGACCTGGAAAAGGCGTTAGGGAAGAGCAGTCCCCTGCATGCTACATGAGCAGGTGGCGTGAGCTAAGTCATCGTTGCCCCTAAGGAATGACACACTGGGACCGTTGTCCCAGGATTCTGATGAGCAGGAGACAGCACTGACACAAAGCCTTTCGTAACCCAGGAAGGACCACAGAAAACTCTGAGAAGAGAGACTCAAGTCACAGATTCAATAAAGAATTCTGCCCCAGTCTCAAGGTGAGGGCTCTCATTGTCTGTGTGGCTGGATCATAAGTGGGCTTCTGATGCCGTGGATGTGGCTTTTGGGAGAACAAAACCAAGGGTATAAACCTCTAAACCACGGGGCTGGGAGGTGGCTCAGTCGGTAAAATTCCTTCTGTGTAAACATGTAGTTCCACAATCAGTTTGCAGAGCTCAGGAGAAAAGTCATGTGATCACATGACCCAGGACTGGGGAGTCAGACAGGAGGATCCCTGGGGCTGGCTAGAAGACTGGCCTACCTGAATTGGTTGACTCCCGGCCAATGAGAGATCATGTCTCATTGACTGTGGACTGAATCAGCCCATTTCTCCACATTCACACTTGAAGCCTTGACTCCTAGTGAGATAGAGGTAGGATAGTGAGAAAGACTGAGGGTGAGAGTGGCTGAGGCAGATGGCCAACGTTGGCCGTGTCTTTCTTGTGCACATATACACATGTGGATATACACGTGCACATACCAAGTGGGTCGTATGGGACCTGGAAATACTTTCAGACATAGAGGAAGACAGAACTTAAAATGCCAGCCCTTCTCTTTGAGGTAACCCTAAAATATCAAGGGAGTCGAGATGGTTCCCAAGATTCTTGAAGCTGTGCAGGTAGGAGTTTTGTCTACCTGGAGATACTAAAGATCAGAGGATATCTTAGGGGTGCTAGACAGAGAAGCAAGCTGGATCCACCCTTCCTCCTACCCCCAGGTCCACTAGTGGGCAACTCTCACATGGTGGAGCATGTCAGACCAGATGAGCTGATTTCCCGAGGGCAGCAGGCCAGAGAGCTTGCTGTCAGAGCTGGCAGCAGCAGTAACATCCGGAGATATTAGAGGTGAAAATAGGCAGCAGGGAAGCTGGGCAGGGAAGTATCTTGGGATACCCTGCCCTTGACTCCAGCAGGCAGTCAGCCACAGGAGAAATCACGTGCCATGACATGTGAAATGAACTGATTGTATTTGTTATTGAATGCAGAAGAGTGGTGTGAGATTCACCTCTGCATGCTGTGAATATCATTGGTTAATAAAGGAACCCCTTTGGGCCCCGTAACTACTTCACTCAAATGTAATCATGCAAACTTGAAACAACTTGAAACATTTGGTTTCCAGAGAATAAAGTCCTTACACAGAGGATGACTGATAGCCCTGTCACTCAATTGCATATGTAAATTCGTTCATTTACAGATGGTGGTTGTTCTGTTCAGCCAAAACAAAATGTTATACCTTACGTGACTTAAACAACGAGCGTTCATTTCCTCATAGCTCTGGAGGCTTTAGACCGCAGCTCCCAGCCTGTGGGTTGTGCCCCCTGGTAAACCTCCAACTCAAAAAGTATTTACATTACAAATCATAACAGTAGCAAAACTACAGGTATGAAGTAGCAAGAAAAATAATTTTATGGTTGGGGCTCACAATAACATGAGGAATTGTATTAAGGGGTGCAGCATTAGGAAGGCTGAGAAAACAGTGCTCTAGATAAAGATGTGTAGGAACTGAGGTCTGGGTGAAGGCTCCCTTCAGGACCACACATAGAGGTTTTCTCTTTGTGTCCTCACATGGCTGGGACAAAGAACCAACTCTGTGGTGTCCCTCCTCACAAAAGCTGTGATCCCTTCCTTGGCACTCCACCCTCATGACCTCATTTAAGCTTCCTGCATCCCTGAGGTCCTAATTCTGTCTCACTCAGAGTCAAGGCTTCAAGTGTGAACTCAGAGAAAGGGATTGACTCAGTCCGTACATCAAATGTCAACTCACAGCTGGTTCACACAGATGTAAATAGCAAAGCAGGTTGGGAATAATAGACACATACTACACAAAGTCTCCAATATATATTTTAATTCTAAATGAAATCATAAATGTCCTGGATCATTTTTGTAGTCATTAAAAATAAAATAAAAATAAGCATTTCTGTTTCCTGAAAGGGTTCCTATGGGTCATGTACCTATAGAACTTTGGGCAGTATATGGAGAGGATGTGCTTCTGCCCAGGGAAGTATATGGACAAACAGGGAACTGCCCACCCTGTGTCTGGGAAGATGCTGTTCCCTGAGTAAGACTTACTACCGCACAGCTGGGTCCCCATCCTAGGGTAGAGCTAACCCTGAATGCCAAACCCAGACTCTAGTGCCTGTTTTAAAAGACGGCTGCAGCCCGCAGCAAGTTGCCACAACCTGAGTGACTTAAATAATAAAAGTAAGTTGTTTTCCGCCTGTGAGACAGCTCTGCGGGTTAAGGAACCTCCCTCCAAGACCAGCACAGTTCCGCTCCTAGGTCCTCAACACA